GAGATAAGGTGTGTTACAGCTTTCTTGATTGTAGAATATTTGCTAGCATTTTCATAAAATGTTGGGGTATGATTTTGCCTGAACACATTGTAGTTGAGAAATAGCTAGCAATAGCTCCCAATCAAAAAGAGAAAAAAGGGTCAAAACCCCACTATATATGTGAGTTTAACTTACTCTAACACTCCCCCATAAGCTGAAGTTAAAATTATCCCAAGGCTCCCTTGGACGTTGAGAAACTTATCAGGCTCTAGAGGTTTTGTGAAGATGTCAATAAGCATGTCCACACTAGCCATGTAGGCAACATGCATTATGCCCTTTCAACTTGCTCATTGTAGTGAAATTGAATGAAAATGTGCTTGTTGCACTTATGAAAAACTGGGTTCTTTACCATAGCAAGGTTGCTTTGATTGTCATACTATACATGATTGGGTGTGACTATATAGTGCCAACTCCTTCCAAAAGGCCTTTTAGCTATACTTTCCCATAAAAACTGGTGGTTAAAGCAATGTACTCAACCTTTACAAAAGAGATAGCGACCACAATTTGTTTCTTACTCACCCAATTAATAGCAGTTACATGTAAAATTTAATAATCAATTAGCATCTTTTGTTAACTAGCATTAAGTTTATGTCAATGCTAGAGTAATACAGCCCCTAGTCCATAATCCCCTTCAAGTAGTGCAAGACATGTTTTGCAGTGTTCCATGCAAAGGTCAAAACTGAATTGGTTAAGGGTGACAATTGCATAATAGATATCAGGATGAGCAGATAGTGCCAAATATATCAAACAATTGATCAAGCATGTCTCTTCCATCTTGAGGCATAAGAAGACTGACAGTAGGGTGCATGTATAGAGTGGTAATTTTCCATGCCAAACTGGCATAAGAGCTACTTAATATCTTGATGTTGGTGGAGTTTAAGCATCATCTTCTTCCAATCCCACTCCACCCTAAAAAACTTTTGTTATGCCAAGGTCTTTCATGTGGAAGCATTGGGAAAATCTCTCTTGCAACTGCTAGATAGCATCACCATCCCCTTCCATGACAAGTAGATCATCCATATATAAGGTAGGGATAATCATGCTATCACCCTTCCCTTTTATGTACATTTTGACTTAGTGGATTTTGGTGCAATGCCTTATCAAATCTTTGATACCACACTTAAGAGAACTGCTTTAATCCATATAATGCTTTCAACTACCATATCTTTTTTGCATTGCCATATCCTTAGAAACTATGTAAAAGCGTAAATTAATTCCATGCACAGGGGGAATACATATATATATATCTCCTCATTAAGTGTAGCACATGTGGTTTTTACCCTTTATCCTATAGTGATTTACCATAGGATAATCACAGAAGTGAAACCTAAACCCTTTTTATGCCACATGTCCAAAGGATAGTGGTGTGAAACCTAAGTTTCAGAGCCTTAAGCCACTAAATGAAGAAATGGTGCCAAACTCCCAAACATGGAGCCAAAGGGTGATGGAACCAAACCACGAAGCAACTCCCAAACTTATAACCCAAGGAGTGAAAGAACAGGAATATGGAATGATTTGAAATAGTCTTAAAGCATCCAATATCCCAATGCTAAGACCAGCACGCAAAACGGAGCTAAGTGGAGTTTAGCACTATTTTAGCATACTGGTGGCCGAATGCAAGGATATGGGTACTCCACCAACTAACATGGTATGGAGCTTAGGCTTAGACTCAAGCCGAACGTAGAACAAGGATAGGCACATAAGCAAGAGCTAGACTATGCCTCAGGTTGGTCAACCATGCCCAACCTACCCACTATCCCTACTACCCCCATACCCCCGCCCCCCCGAGGAACACACACTTCTTTCACCCCAAGCCTCCCTTAGTATTAAGAGTTAATCTCTGGGACAAGTTCGAAACTTACTAAATATGAAATGTCCCTAGATTGTGAATTTGGACATGAGACGAACACTATTGTATTCAAGACAATCTCTACATTTTGTAGATATAGCGCACCTGAATTTGGAGCCGAACTCCAAGCCCGTTGCACTACAAAACGAGGGTCTGGTACAATCCCACGAGCATCAGCTCCCCGTATCCAGCACCTGCACGCAAAATGGTGTCAGACGGAGTCTGGCACGATTTTGGCATACCGGTGGCCTAACGCGAGAAGGAGGGTACTCCACCGACTAGAGCAGCGTGGAGCTTGGGCTTAGACCCAAGCCGGACGCAGAACAAGGAGCAACACAACCCAGTGGGAGCCAAACTAATGTCTCAGGTGGTCGGACATGCATTCCAACCACTGTCCCTACTATACATTTGGAACCCCCCCACAGCCCCCCCCCCCCCCTTGAGGAACACACGCTTTGGGCTTTCACCCCAAGCCACCCTTAGTACCAGGAGTTAGTCTCTGGGACAAGTACGAAACTTACTAAATATGGAATGGCTTTAGATTGCAAATTTGGACATGGGACGAATACCATTGTGTTCAGGCCGACCTCTACATTCCGTAGACATGCCAAATGAGCGAATCTAGGCACTTTCCATAAATAGCACTTGGGACCGAAATGAGACTAACACAAAGGGCGTGATAGCGAGGGTGTTTGGCAGACACGGTAAGCTATCATCCGGCGATATTAAGGGACTAGTCTTAATATGCGAGGGTTCTTGCCAAGCCAGTGCAAGACAGAGCAAAAGAGAACTAAAAAGCCGAGCCAAGTATGCTTGGCCAAATAGACACTTAGGAATTCCGTCCTTATGCTCATCCAACCAAGTACAGATGCTAAGTCCAGTTTACTAACACTTGGACAAGAGGGGCTATTGAAGGGAACCAGCAGTACCGACCTCTTGCCGTCATGGCAGTAAGGAAAAAGTGTCCGTAAGGACCGGTCGACAAGTATCTTTCGATACCTGAAGTCACATTCGCGACAGTAGATATGCTAAATGAGAAAATCTAGACACTTTCCATAAATAACATTTGGGACCGAAATCAAACTAACACAAAGTGCATGATAGCAAGGGTGTTTGGTAGACATAGTAAGCTATCATCCAGCAATATTAAGGGATTAATCTCAATACACAAGGGTTCTTGTTAAGCCAATGCAAGACTGAGTAAAAAAGAATTAAAAAGCCGGGCCAAACATGCTTGGCTAAATAAACATTTAAGAATTCTATCCTTATGCTCATCCGGCTAAGTACATATGCAAAGTCCATTTTACTAACGCTTGAACAAGAGGGATTGATAACAGGTCTAGCAATACCAATCTCCTACTGTTGTGGCAGTAAGGAAAGAGTGTATGTAAGGATTAGCTAATAGATAATTTTCGATACCCAAAGTCACATTTGTGACATTAAAAACTCCATGAAAAAAATGTCATTTTAACATACATTTGGTGGACTTTCCATCCTTGAGCATTGGCTATTGCAAAGATAGTGTAGACACCAGTCATCTTCACCATTGGCAAAAAGTTTTACTATAATCCACCCTTTAACTTATGTGAAACCTTTAGTGATGAGGCAAGTTTTATAGTGAGTGGTTTTGTTGGTTGCATCATGGATTCTCTTGAACACCCATTCAAATATTTTTTGACCAATAGAAGTGGTTAGTCATTTCAACACATGGTACATTATGATGTTGATCAATGATTTTACCTAGATATCATGCATGTTATTTCTACATAACAGGTGGTGGAAGCTTTCAAGCTCTACAAGGCCATAGTTGAGATGAAGCTTGGGAAGAAAATTTAAACCTGACACAGAAGTTAGCAATCTATTATAAAAGCCAATGAATACACCCATAGTGCTCAGTGGGAAACAAATTAGACCTATAAAAGAGCTAAAAAATAAGAATTAATATACTATTGTTATATAACGTGTTGTCAACAAGAGTTCCTCCAACTTTTCATCACAAGAATCTCGTCAAGCTGGAATGAAACTACTACCAACAGTCATTGTTGTAAAATATATATATTACCACCTTTTATTTGTAAAAGTTAATTTTGCTTTATTCTATAAACCACTCAATCATTGTTATTTACTAATGGAATCTGATTTGGATCTTGGTTGTCAAATGGTTGAACTAAAGCTTGATCCTGACTATTTGGTGATGGAATGTGAGCTTGATCAAAAACTTTCTCAATGTTTGTGAAGCTTATTTCATTGCCATCTTCCAAAGTGAGCTTGAATTTACCGACTCCCTGGATACCAAGCCGTGTGCCATCCCCCAACAGAACACTACTTCTTTATTGCACTGGCTGCTCAAACATAAGTTTATTCATGGTCATAAGATTAGTGCAAACCACTCTCTCAAGAAGATGTCAATGCAAGACTGATGAATTGGAATGTGAAATCTGGCTCCTAGCATCCATTGCAGGCTGCACTACTAATGTCCAGAGCAGATGATGGCTTCCTTGTCCATCAATATGAAACTCTACCATCCCAGCTTGTCATGAACATGGACACAAAAACTTACTGCATGGCTTGCCCCAACTCCTACACAGTCACAGCCCAAATGGTCTCCAACACAGGAAACCTGAACATTGCATAAATGAAGCAGCTTTAAGAGAAAGAAAAGCTTACCTTCAATAACTCTGTGGTAGTGCCCAGGGCTCTCTTGCACACCTTTCTTCCAGGCACAAACTAGATGATCCTGAATGACATGAATGAGAGAAGCTAGAATGAAGCTTTCTCTCGTTTGTGACCGAGCTCATGAGATTCATCCCTCTCAT